AACTGTCATAGTTCCATCATCTGTGAATGAACTTGAGTTGGAAATGTGCTGTGGGATGGATATGTCAATCCTCCAGAAGTTTTAGAGACATGTCTAGGTAGAGTAGGTTCTGACAATGGAAAGCTCTCCTAGGAATGCTTACAAGTGAGACTTCATTTTTGCATCAGCCTCTACACAATTTCTAAAATATTTTAAACCAGATTTTATAGTATTTTGATTTTTACGTGAAGAATAACTTCAAGTATATATCAAGGTGAATTCACTCATGAGTCCCCTACATATCTCACTGTGTGGCTTGTTAGAAATCATTGAGGCACTTGGCACCCAGAACCTCAGAGAGGACATCTTGGCATGCATTTCATGCCACCACCTGTGTTTTCTAGGAAGATCGTCGCTTTTTGAATTTGAGATCATAAGAAGGAACTCACTGTGGTGCGTATCCTTTTCAGAAGCTGCATTGTCCCATTGTAAAATTTTCAAATTTTGTATTTTTCAATAAGACTTGCTAAGAAGAAAGAAGATGGCTGACATTTACAGAAAGGATGTTTTCCTGTGTTTTTCCCCCCACACACAAGATTTAATTCTGTTGAAATAGAGCAGCATGTGTAACTGTGCTTTCAGCCATTCATCTAAGTAAACTTTCACAATTGTACAACATGGAGATCAGAGTACACATCTTCAAAGCTAATTAAATCAATGTGATGAGTTCCTGCAGCTGCTTGCTTTTTGTCTATGGCTTTCAATGTGTAAACCAAATGTGTGGTGTTGGGATAATTAACCTCTTGCTTTTGCCACCACCCCAACTCTCTCTCCTTTACAGATCTTTACATAGTTACCATCAAGTGCAATTTTACCTATTCTTGCTCTATATTATCATCTACACTTAACAAATTTTGAAGAATCTGTTTGTTAGACAAACATTTTTCCCTGAATAGTGTTTTATCTACTTTGCTACAATACTCGCTTAATTCATGCATAGAAAGTGGAATGTCTTTTCTGCTGAAACTATGAGCCTGAAGAATGCAATTTCTATGGCATTGTTAATTGTTTTTGTATTAGTTATCAATGGCCCAACTTCAAATATTGAATGTATGCTTATTATTTTATTATTTCCACAATATCCTATAAGACATTATCATAGTCAATTATCAAAAGAGGAGACTAAGGTAACAAAGGTAGAGTGATTTCTGGGCAGAGATAACTGAGATTAACATCTAATTCCTTTGTTTGTTTGTTTTTTTAAACCTTAGCTATCTTTGTATTCAAGCAGAATATTAGCTTCAGAAAATAATTGGGGTCTTTTCATTGAGAGAATAAACTACATTCTATTGGCTTTAAATAATTCCTTTCTATATTTACTAGCCAGATATCTCTGAGCAACTTATAGTCAAGTTTTTTTCCTTGTTTGCTAACAAAGTGATTGCTTTCCTTACAGCAAGAGAATGAAGTTTGGCTCAGCTTGACTGATTTCTTTCAGAAGTAAACATATTCTTCAGCTATGCACATGTAGCACTCAGCTTCTTCACTCCTGTCCTGAAAGTAGGGCAGTCAGAAAACCCCATGTAAGTAACTAAAGGTGGAGTAATTTACATGTGATAAGTAGAAGATAAATTCTTACCCAACTATTTTGGGTAATTTCTCTTTATTCTTTTAAAGAGGCATTACCCCCAAACCATGCATACATAACACATTATGTATGCACGTGTGCATACAGAGAAACTTGCAAACGATAGAGTTGGGGTGGAAGTAGCAGCCTTAAGTTTCATGGAAGTGTTTTCTATTTCGGACCAGAGAAGTCCCCCTTTTTAAAAACCATCTGGCTCCTATTAGTGCAGGTTCTGTTGTCAGCATTGACTTAAGTTGGGGGAGGCTACGCCTATGTCACCCTAGGGAGGATCATTATTCAGTGGCTGGAGTGGTTTAAGTTTTAATGTATCTACTAGGACAAAAGGGTAACACAATAAATGTTTCTGAGTTAGAGAAGATTCATTTTCAGAGTTTAATCATAGTCACTGGAGTATAGCTTCCTTGTTCATTTCCATCACAGTGTAAGCTGGAGCTTTCTAGTAGACGGTCACAACGGCATAAGGTAGGCATTTGACCAATGACATGGCGACTGGGGAACATCACACTTTAAAAATTTTTATTCAGATTCTCTGTTTTGTCAGAGTTGACACATTTGGTAGTTCCCTTTCCATCATTACAAGAAATAACATCGTGTGGTAATAAAGAACTTGGACTCTGAGAACAGACCACTGTGGTTTGAATCCTAGCTCTGCCACTTTCCCACGGCATGATCTTGAACAAGTCATTTTACCTATCTATGCCTGAGAATCCTCATTTGTAAAATAGAGACCTTAATAACAGTACCTAATTGTGCTTGTGAGGATTAAATGAGGTAATATACATTTAATGCTTAGATAGTGCCTGATACATAGTTCACTGTTATTTCATTATAATGGAGTATATAAAATGACTTTAATGTCCTCTTTGAAATGCATTCAATGATATTTCACAGAATAAATTTTGATCTATTAATAATCATTGTTAGAGTTACAAAGTATTTTCTATCTATATAGTTAAAAAGACATGCACATTCTTCTTAAGGCAACTCCAGTAATTGGATTTTTTGAGACCAAGAAGGAACTAAAGTTACTTTATAACTAGACCCATTGGGGTTAGATGCAAATTCATTACAAGTTCTTTCAGAAAATTCTACTTCCTCTCTTTTAGTTAGTTATTCTCTTCATACTGTGAAGAGAATATTCCCTCAGGGGGTAGAGAGAACTTTAATCACTATTTCCTCCATTGCCTTGCCTCAATTTTATTTGGTCAGATTAAATCTCCTGGGAATCTCAGTCAATCTCTCTCTTTCTCTATCTCCCGCTCCCCCTCTCTCACCTTCCCTTCCTGCTCTGTCTGTCTGTCCTATCCTTTCTTCTCCCCCGTTCAGCTACCTATAATGCTCTTTATTTTGCTTAGTAACTTTACTCATTTACTCATCTGGTAAGACTCAGCCCAATTTTCATCTCTGACATTAAATCTTTCCCTAATCTTCCAAAACATATTGGCTTTTCCCTTCTCTGTGTTCTCATTGGACTGTGCACATTATGATTTCTTATAGAATAATTATTATTTACTATGTTTATTTACCATGCTTGACTGTTAGTTTTTTGATGACATCAACCATGTCTTTGGACATTTTTCTTTTGCTAATATCTAGCCTAGTGCTCACTATACATTAGGTGGTCAGTGTATATTTATTGTATAAACTGACTAGGTAGAATGTACGCATCAGGATTTGGGCAGAGTTATTCCTAGCTAGAACTGCACAAGGTCTCTGCCTAGTAAGTGTTAGTTAGGATGCTAAGTAACCCAGTCTCTTCTATTTGTCTTTACAACTGGCTTGCTGCTGGCATCTGTAATTCTTTAGTAGTGATCACTTAAAGGTCTTGGTACATTTGAAGCTAGTTAAGGTATTATCTTGTCTAGGATTAATAATAAGTAACAAACCAACAAGCCTATTAGCACGGATTAGCTTATCTGAGAGTGAAGAGATTGATAGGCAGAAATGGTGAATTGTGATGGCAATAGGGCCTAGGTGTATGGTTTTAGTGGGGGCATGGATCAGTGTGACCTGTGACACTGAAAACTTTGTGCCTAGGAGTTGGCCAACTTAACTTATGTTACAATTCAGCTGAGGTGTTGCCTGATGGAGTCATAAGACCCAGAAAAGAGGGAGCTCCAGGTGGACACTCTGCTGGTGCCTGAGTGCAGCTCTCCTTCCTTAAGAGGGGAAAACCTACCTCCTTGTGTCAGAGCTCACCGGGCTCACTGCGGTCATGCAGAGCACGGCACAGCCTACGCTTAGCAAAACAAATAAGGGTGAATAAAATAAATTTCAATAATTCAATCCAAGGCAGACCTCTGCCTGGCCATTCCTTGAATCCTTGCTCAGTAGAGTTGCTCAGAAAGTTAATCCATCCACACGCAATTCATCACATGTGTTTATATTTCACAACGTTACAGAGATGGAAATTATTGGCTTTACAGACCCTGTCTGTCTAACTATTAAATCATTTGCAGACTGTCAAACAGTGTTCATTATGGAGGGGTCGGAAGGTCCCAGAACTCCACTGCCCCCATTTCCTCCGCTGGAAAAATCTGTTGATATATGAAAAATAGGTATTTAAATAAGCTGAGTTTTCAGCAATGACTGCAGGCATTTTCTGCCATATGTGCAGCTGGGTAGGGTACCTCAGAAACAACTTTGGAGCCAGATTTACACAGTATTTAAAATCTCTCTGGCTAGAATTAGGCACATTTGGAATTCTATGAACAGCCTTAAATAATTACTCTCTCTGTCCATGGCCAGTTCTAATAGAATGAACTGCAGCACCTTCTGATTTACCCATCCATTTCCACTGATATGAACAGCAGTGCCAAGACTGTCTTTACCTCTATTGGATCTGATACATCACAGCAAGAATTAACTTTTATTATTCCACTTCTTTTACTTTTCTACACGTACAATGGCTACTACATCAAATTAAGTCCTCCGTTTAATGTTGTAGTTCAAGACTGGTTTTCAACACTGTAGACCACCCTTTAAGGCATATCCTGACTTGTATGCTCTATTCTACCCCAATAGCAATTACTTCATACTCCTCTTATCTCACTTTTCCTAGAATTAACTTATTGTGACCCTTTGATTCCTATTTTCATATCTAGAAATTCTTTCCTCTTTATCTCAGCCAATGTTTCCTTCTTCCCTATAAGACTTTTTTTCTGGGGCACTGATGAGAATAACCTTTGTCGTTTCAGTATTTAATATGTTTTGTGTGTGTCTGAAAAATTGCAACATAATCAACTAAATCAATCAATTGATCAATTGTTTATTGATCATAATGTTCTTATTCTGTAAAGATTATAAAATAATTGTAAAAGATAGTTCTTTGCCCTCAATTGTGATAAAATTATTATTTAAAACACACTATTAGGAGGTCCTAATGTAAGGTGACAGGAGAATATTTGACTTTGGGTGGTGGGAACATGGTGCAATATACAGATATAGTAACATAGAAACCCACACCTTAAACCTATATGTTCATGTTGACTAAGGTCACTCCAATCAATTTAATAAATAAATATTTTGAAGATCACACTATTAGCATAATAAAATACTAAATACTATGATATAGAGTCATAAAAGATGACACTCTCAAGGGTTCAAGAACACTGCTTTAAACCATCATACCATGTGTTCCTCCCTTAGACAGCCTATCCATGGCTACCCCACCTGCTTCTAGTTTTCTGACCTGTCCAATATGAAAGCTTTTAGTCACATGTGGCTATGGAGCACTTGAAATGTTACCAGTGTGACTGAGGAACAGACATTTAATTCTTATTGATTTAAATTTAGATTTAAAAAATGAATATTCCCATCAATTACTAGAAAACTTTTACAGATGTTTGGAACACAATTTGGATCTGTGAATTTACTTTTTCAAATGTACATTTTATAAATATAAAGACAAATAAAATATTACCTGTGGAAATTTAGCATCCAAATTGAGATGTGCTATAAGTGTAAAATTCACAATGGATTATAAAGACATAGTGTGATGAAAAGAATCTAAAATATCTTAGATTACATGTCTAAAATATATTGATTGCATTTTGGCATGATAATATTTTGTGTATTGGGTTAAATAAAACATATCCTTAAAATTTATTTTCTTTGTTCTTTTACTTTTTAAAATATGACTACTAGGAAAATTTAAATTACACATGTGAATTGCAGTGTGTTTCTATTGGGTGGTACCAATCTGGAGCCCAGGAGCAGTTAGCTATTCCAGTGATGTTTCTTGGTCACCCAGAATTCTAGTGCATTTCAGCTGGCCCTACCACATCAAACTACAGTTTGAGGTTGTGTTTGAAAACATAGTCCTGTGCTATATTGCCATGTGCTGTTGGAGTGATATTTGGACCTCTGTTTATTAATCCTTACCTGAGGATATTTTTTCCATTAAATTTTTTTAAAGAGAGAGTGGAAGGGAGTGGGAGAGAAAGAGAGAGAAACATGAGACACATTGAGACACATCGATTGGTTGCCTTCTGCCCATGCCCCAACCAGGGCCAGGGATTGAGCCTGTAACAGAGGTAGTGCCCTTGACTGAAATCAAACCCATAACCCTTCAGTCTGCAGGCCGATGTTCTAACCTCTGAGAAAAACCAGGTAGGGCTGGACCTCTGTTTATATGGCCCATTACAAATGGATGTACGGTATAACTTCACCTTGATGTTTGTCCCTTTATGCAAATACTTTTATTCCTTCTTCTTCACTCCCCTTGTGTATTTGCTATAATGGCCTTAGTCTGTATACTAGATTGTCTTCTCCTTCGCCAATGTTGTGTGAGAAAATTAGTTCATTTTTGGCTGTAGCTTCTTGTCACAATCCTTCTTGTTGCAGTTCTGGGAAGAGTTTATTGTAATTTTTCACCTTTTTTTTTTTTTTTTAAGAAGCTGACTTAAAAAAAATTTCCAGTTTTCAGTTGAACCTCTTAAAAAAAATCTGTCCCAACTCAATAAGAAAATGCTGGATTTGTAGTTTTTGGCTTTGAGCCTTTCTTTCCTGCCCCCTCCCCGTTGTGTTCCAGGTAAACTAGAGGATAATAGGAGCTCTGGGGGAAACCACTAAGGTTCCATGTGCATAAATCCATGCAAAATAGTCAGTGTTGTGCTCAAGACGCTTAGCCCGGGGCCCCTTTCTTTTTTAATTCTTATGGTCTGAAATTTTTTAAAGTCATGTGTGCTTCACAACAGAGTCTTCATTATTCATCAGATTTAGGTTCAGAGTAGCATTTTCCCTAGGCAATTCCTCTCTCCTTTGGGAGATGAAGTCCAGGATACTTGTCTTATTTAACATTCTGCATTATTTGACCATAACTGAGTATCCACCTTTACTCCAGCACCCTAACTCTAGCCCATCCTGGTCTCATTCTTTCCTGGCTCTCCTACTATTAATTATTTATACCACATTCTCATTCAGCTCTTCCTGATTCTTATTTAAGAGTGATAATAGTATTTAGTGTGATTGAGAGTTGTGAAACTATAATAATAATAGTAGTTGTTGATATTTATATAGTGCTTAGCATTTACTAGGTATTGTTCTAAACAATTTGTATGCATCCACACATTGCACCTTCTCTTAATAACCTATGAAATAAGTACTGTTATTATCTCATTTCACTGGAAGAGAGGCTGAGGTACAGGGAAAGTTAAGCAATTTGTCCAAGACTGTACAGCCAATAAGTGCTAGGGTGTAAACCAAACTATCTAACCTTCATGTGTATATTTATATATTGAGCTAAATTGTTTTGAATACTTTGTCTCAAGCAGATAACATAGATTTTCTCATTTAATCTTCACAACAACAAATGGGGTTAAGTGACATTAGAGGGTAATAGAACAAAAAGGATTTTGCAAGTGAAAGATTCCATTTGGACATATAGCAATTACTCATGAATCATTAGTTTTGACCAAAAGTCAGGTATGCAGGTGAATTCTAGTCCACTCCCTGTGTTTTGTAAATAAAGTTTTATTGTTTCACAGTCACACTCATTCATATATAGATTACCTCTGGCTGCTTTTGCAAAACTGAGTGGCAAAACTGAGTAGTTGAGGCAGAGACTATCTGGCCCCAAAGCCTAAAATATTTTACTTCAGGCTCTTTATGGAAAAGTTTTTCAACCCCTGTTCTGCACCACACCTAAAGAGTAAATAGATTCTGCAATTAATGTTAAGTTCTTACAGTAAGGGGAGTGATTATTTACTACTGCCTACCCAAACCACAACTAAATTTTATTTATTTTAAAAATTAGTTTTTATTTTTACTATTGACACTATTACAGGTGTCCCCTATTTTCCCTTTTACCCATCTTCACCCAGCCCCCATTCACCCTCCCTCTGGCATCACCACACTGCTCTCTGTGTCCATGGGAGGTATAATTGACATATAGTATTATATTAGTTTTAGGTATACAACATAACTATTTGGTATTTGTAAACATTGCAAAATGATCACCATTGCTAAGTCTAGTTAACATCTGTCAGCATGCATAGTTACAAAATCTTTTTTTTCTAATGAGAACTTTTAAAATCTATTCTCTTAGTAACTTTCAAGTATGCAACACAATGTTATTAACTATAACCACCATTATGTACATTCATCCCCATGACTTAATTTATTTTAGGACTGGAAATTTGTACCTTCTGACCCTCTTTTACCCATCTCGCCCATCCCCCACATCCATTTCTGGCAACCACCAAACTGTTCTTTATATCTATGAGCTTGGCCAACCTACTATTTTCTTAAAATTTCCCTTTATTTTCCCCAAGAAGAGATTGGAGCTTTATGAAAAACTAATAGTTTTTTTCATTTCCTGTGGTTCAAATCAGTAAAACAGCCCTTCATCCTCCACATCATATTGATTCATTCTTTGGCAGGTGTCATGCTGCTTGATCCAATTGATATGTTCTTGAAAAGCTTATGTAAATCAAAGTTTTGAACATTGAAACACATTTTCTGTTCATTTGTATTACTAGAGGCCCAGTGCACAAAATTTATGCATGGGAGGGGGAGGTCCCTCAGCCCAGCCTGCACCTTCTCCAATCCGGGACCCCTCGGCGGATGTCCGACTGCCAGTTTAGGCCCGATCCCAAAACCAGCAGTCAGACATAGCTGCTGGCTCCTAACTGCTCACCTGCCTGCCTGCCTGATCATCCCTAACTGCCTCTGCCTTGTCCCCACCACTGTGGTTTTGTCCAGAAGGAAGTCCAGAAGGACGTCTGGAAGGACTTCCAAAAGACATCTGGTCTATCCAGTCTAATTAGCATATTACCCTTTTATTAGTATAGATAATTTGTGCAATGCTTCACCCATTTGAAAGGATCTATAACTCTTTATACAATGTTGTGTGCTTGCTCTTTCACATTTGTGTCTCACCACCTCCCCCATACTTGCACTGATGTTTCTGTACAGTTGTCATTGTTCTATAGAAAGAGTTGTATCCCAATGTGAAAGCTATGCTTTAAAAAAATACAACACAACAAAACAAAGCACATGTATAAGGTTTCATAATGGATACCTTTCTCCAATTAAAATACTTGAGCTATTAAAATTTAGTTTTATGAATTTTCTTAAATTGAGGCACAGCTATTGTTAACAACAATGAATATTTATGGGCTACCTATATTATGCCAACCATGGTATTGGGTAACACTGGTGATTTTTATTATTATTAAAAGATGCCACACAATGGCAATGCTATAAAAACTCATCCTCCTCATGAATATTAAAAATAACAATAAATTACATGAGTGCTTACTATGTGCTGGTACTTCTCTACATGCTTAGCATGAATGATTTAATCATCCCAACTACCCTAAAAATTCAGTTCTATTACTGACCCATTTTGCATTGTATACTTTGCAATGATTTCTTTGTAATGTGTATTTTACACTAATGGAGGAAAAATGTCAATCCACTTCTACATAAATAGTATATAAAACAGGAGATTAATTGATGGGTTTCTTTATTTTTAAGTGAGTTATAATGCTATATGTAAGACTACTATACTTTTTTAAGGTATCATGATATATCTAAAATACAAAGAGTTCCATGAGTAAAGGATAACATTTGGGATACTAGAAGTTATCTATTTAAGATCAGAAAATTGAGAAATGTGAGATGAAAACTAAACATGTGTGGATTATTCATTTATTCATTCATTATTTAGCATTTTTTATTGAATATTTACTATAGTCCGTTTCTTCATGGATCTTATATTTATAAAGAGGGAGATATTCAACAAATATGTAAACATATTATTCAATTGAAGATTGTGAAAAGGGCTTCAAGCAGCATGAAGAGGGTGGTGATGTACAGAATAATTAATTATATAGGTTGGTTCTGAGAGAATTTAAGTTTATAGCTTAAGAATAAAAAAGTGAAATGGTGTGGGAGGGAGTGGCATATTTAGGTAGAAGGAGTAACATTTTCAGAGACTATGAGA